AACCAAACTTGTTCAAGCCCCTAAAATACCGGAAATGTGTGCTCCAGTATCTATTGTTAACTTATGTCCGAAAATATCCAAAAAAGCCAAAGTATGGGATATACAATTGAAATTCACACAGATTCCTTTCATGACAATAGTGTCTCTGTTTAACCAAAATAGGTTGATCGGGTCGATGCTTTCCTATATATATAATATAAAGATTTTCGAATTTCCGGGCGATTTTATACCGCATATATCAATTATCTTAATAAAATTGAGASACCGTTTTTTCGTATAACGGTGCAGCTTAGTATTCGGCCGATAGAAGAAATACCACTGATAATCCAACCTAAAGAAAGCAAATAAACATTTTGGCCAYATCGAACGTTCCAAAGCGAGAGGGGAGAAGTATTAGCTCGTACTAGTTGTTCTCACCACCGAAAATATAGCTGATTGCAACAAAGTTTTTAATAGTGCATATATGATATATACATTTGAGATAAAAATTTTATTTTCATTCTTATGAAACTAAAGCTCATAGAGTATCTATCTTCATCTAAATTACATATTGTATATGCATAGTAGAACATCTAAAACTTTTGACTCACCTGCACTGTTGCTGTCTGCACATTCTCCTTCTGGTTAATATCCTCGATTTTTTGCGCCAATATTTCAACACGTTCGGTTGTGTTCTTAACACGTTCATCAGTCGATTGATTCAATATGATTTCCTGTTCGTGGAAGAAACCCTCCACACACTCCTCTTCGAAGTCATACAAACGCTCCATATCATCCTTTTCCAGGAACAACTTTAGACCATTGTCACGTTGTACCTCCAATCCTAATGGCGAGTTGGCATTATTGAAATGTTGTTTTTGTTGTTGTTGTTGTTATTATTATTATTATTATTATTGTTGTTGTATAAACGATTGTGTATTTCGGCGCGGTGGCAGCAGGTGTGCAAAAGTTCACATTTCGAAGGTTTCGGTTGGTTGTTTGGACGGTTGATGATAACGTTGYATAGTTGAAGTGTTGTTGTTGTTGCAGCAATATGTATTCCAGTTATTAAATGTGCGCAGCGTCATTATTGATGAATTTTGTTGCAGATGACACATATATGCCAGKTTGTTGAAGGTTTCGATCGGTGACATCGAGGGTTTTCGTATTATTTTACGATGTTTCAGCATGGTAAAGCGCCATTTTGTAGATGACGCAACAACAGTTGTTGACAATTGCAGTTGTTTTAAAACAAATACAAGAATATTTCATCAGTTTTTTTTGCGACAATGCAAATTCGAGCGTAAATATATATGAATATAGCTCGGATGAAGAACATTGATACACATATGCATATGTATGTATGTGTGTTGGTTTGTATATGAACGTGTGTGCATGCATTACATGTGTTCCATGTGATTGAGCAGATGTAGCCAATGGTGTCATCATCATAACAGTCAACGATGATCAACGTTGTTATTGAGCGCATGAACAACAACAATAACAACAAAGGTGTGACAGACAATGATGGACCAGCGAGTAGGTGGGTAGTGGTGGTGGTGTGGTGTGGTGAGTAGTCAAAGCAGGTAAGTATTTGTTATGGATATGGCATCGTGTGCAATTCGGAGTGATGTGGCATGCCACGTGACATGGCGCGTGTGGCACAAATGACCATTGTGATATGCAATAACAGCAACAACGATTGCAATTTTCCAAAACCATTGGCAATGAAATGGAATTATATGCAAAATACATTTAGGCATGGATGTATATGTGTGCATATGTACAGATATTGTTGTTGAACATTTATATAAATAGTTTTTGTTGTTGTTGTTTTGTTTTTCAAATTTAATATTTTCATGCGTTAATGGTTTGGATGGGAATTTTTTGTGTTTTTGTTTTTGTTTTTATTTAATTTTTGTTGTTGTTTTTGTTAAATTCAATATGGCATGGTTTGATGTTTTTGATGGACATKTTTTGTGATTTTTGTTGTTATTGTATTTATATTTAATGTTGTTGTTTTTTTTTCGAATTTTATATTTGCATGCGTTGATGTTTTACATAACAAATTGTTTTTGTTATTATCGTTGTTTTTTTATAATTTCAATATCGCTTATGCAACACATCCAATGTGGCAAGTAAGTGCAAATGTGGGATGTTTGAGGTGCAGCGTATTTTTATTGTTGTTAGCATGTATTGTAGAGGATTGTATGTATGTGTTTTATATATGTGTATGTGTGGATGCGTTTAACAGCCATGTACGACACCGTTAACGGCAGCGCAATAATGGGAAAAAATATATAGAAATATTATTTTAGTTAATTATATTCAAGCGTTAGTATAAAACTCACAGGGAATAAAATTTAATTTTCTCATCCCTCTCTCACCTTTCGCTTTGCGTATACAATACTTGAGCAGCGAGTAGAAATGGCAGAGCGCGATGAAGGGTGGCGGCAGCACGGGCTTCTGTTGGTACTCCATGACAACGGTGAAGCGTTGAAACATCCAAACCTACACCCGCACATTAACAACAACAGCAACGTAATGCAGATCACAGCGCATAACAGCCATTAGTAGCCAACATTAGTCCAACARACGCCCCGGCAGCCATRAAGCGCGCCATGTGGCAAGTAGCAGCATCAACAGTTGGATTGGTTGTGTTGGCGTAGCAGACATAAAGGAAGAGATAAAAAATTTGCATACGATTTTCATTAATTTTTAGAACAGTTATGCTACATAAATCTCAGTGGTGTGTTGGGACGCACCTGATGCGAAACCGAGTTCACTTCGTTGAAAATGTTATTGAAGACGGCAATCAGCAGATTAATTAGCAGAATATTGGCAATCAGCAGGTACATTGCCATTATGATCGGTGTCACCCAGTGGCCTGTAGTGAGAAAAATTGAGAGTGGTAATAAGTAAAGGTCGAATAACAAAAAAAGTTTTATATTTACATTAAAAAAATTCAAGAAAGTAAAAATAAGTGAACAAGTCGACTTTTGTTATTGTGCAGCTGCCATTTCATGAAAAAAATATCAGTACAGTTAGTTTTTATTGGTCGACGAAAGTCCTCGTAGCTACATCCCTGGAATAATTTCTAGAGTAGGTCTCTCTTTGTTGTGATCAGAAAGCGGCTAGCTAAGGCAGAGATTCATATACGCTCTGCTCTTCATGGTAACATGTTTTGCATATAACACTGTACATCTACTTCTGCCATTGCTAACCCGGTTTCCCGATATATAAACTCAATATGGAGGACCAAAAAGATGACTAACAGGCTGGAACATCAGCATTCAAATTTCGGTGTGAGAAGTGGCTGCTACTACCGACGGGCAYAGTGAGTTTACTTGCGGTGAATGTTAACGAAAAGTTTAGTTGCAAGTCCTACCGGACGAAGGAGGAAGCGGAAATTGTCGTGGGGTGTAGGTGGCGTATATGTTCGCCTCAAGAAGCACAACCCAGGCGATAATAACGAAAATACATTACAGGAGCGAAAGATGGAAAAGAATTTAGGAGAGATTCGAGAAGCTACAGTAAGGCTCCATGAAGTAGATAATATGAAGCCGAAGTCTTAACCCGACCCCGCGAAGAAACACGAACAAGAGAGTAAAGGTTCTTCAAATAAATCTGCACAAAATCAAGATGACCTCTGTCKAGCTCCTCCTCCATCTAGAGAGGATCGGCTACGATGCGGCTTTAGTTCAGGAAGAATGGATAGACTCYGGAAATATGGTAGTTGGACTTAAGTCGCCAACATAATGTACATACGTACCTCCAGAAATTACTATCTATCTGGTAAACTTGGTTAATACTCATTTTCCAGAGTGTACAGACGCTACAAATCTCCAACCTGTAAGAGATAGAGTAGAGTATGTCTCAACAGATATCATACCGAAAGAGAATACTTTGGGCAATCAACGGCTTTGAACCGTTTAAGTCCCCGGGTATGGACAGTATTTTTCCGGCTATGATGCAGAATGTGTCAAGAGCTCTGGTTCCTTATATGATCATAATACGCGAATACTGTTTAAAGCTTAACTACATATATGTAGACCTGTCTCTTATACACATCATAATACGCGAATACTGTTTAAAGCTTAACTACATATATGTAGACTATTCTATGTAAATYTTTCCGATGTAAAGAGGCGAGGATCTTACTCACATCAAAGGCGGGCAAAGCAGTCAACCTTYATTCGAACCTTTATTAGTACATGAGTAATGAAAAGAACCATAAGGATATTGGTATTCCTATGGTAAAGAAAGAAGTAGATAGCAGAACGAAATATATATCTAAASTCCGAGATCATCCCAACCCATTGGTTAATGCTTCACAACATTTCTGCGATCAAACACGCCCAAAAATAAGAGATATGCCTGTGTACTAAAGAGCAGCGTATCACCAAAACAGCTCAATCGCGTGCTTGAGCTTGTCTAGTTTTTAAATAAATTTAAGGTTTTATAACATATTGTTAGGCTTTAAAAAAATAGATCCAATAAATAAAGAAATATTGAGAAAAAAAGATTTAAAAAAAAAAATGGATTTAATCTAAAAAAATAAAATCTTTGTTTAGAGCCGCAAAAGTCGACAATCAATATATAAATACTTTATATRAATGAAAACCTAGATGGCGCTGATGACTGTTTAGGTTAATGGTGGGATGAACTAGTCTTAACTTTTCCTCTTACAACATAAATTCTTCCAATTTTATTAAAGCTAAAAAATTGCAGCAACTGTACTATCCTTAATCGTTTGGTCCCTGTTTCGAAATTTATGGAACGAATAATTTCCCACACAGGTTTTTCGTTGAAACTATCCAAATCATAACATTTAATTTCCAATGAAGCAATAAATATTTTATGAATTTCTTAGTAAACTTACCAGTGGGACAAGGCTTCTGATGCGGCTCCTCACCGCATGGTGGATCAATATCATCGGCGAACACTTCACCATACAACATGAAGTACGGCTGATAATAAACCTGTGAATGGTTGAGAAAAAACGAGAAGAAAAATAAATTAGTATTCTAAATGCGAAGTGACACGGCATCACATAACGATTACGGCCGCTGAGCCAGAGTCGAGAGCAAGAGTAGAGTAGATAGACAGTTACACAAATGCATGGTTGCAGCACAACAAGAAGAAGACAGCATAAACGGCGTCAGCTGCCGTTCGGATAAGAGGGCGAAGGGAGATAGAGAGCAGAGGGAGTAGGCAGTGGGTAGCAAAAATTTACACATAACGGGCACGTAGAGAACAGATACAGTTTGTTTTACAAATCTACAATCATATAATTCATCTAAATAGTTGCTTATGCAATTACGGTTATTTATACATATCTACATTTAAACATATAAACATTATATAACTATGAATGAGAAATAAAATATAATTCTAAATCAGTCGAGATTTCTTGTTAAGCTGTCGATTAAAGTATTCGTATTTTATTTTGTTTTAAATCGTACCCAATCCTACCTGCCGTTAGGCGCTTTGTTGCAGTTGACGTTAGTTTAATAACAGTTACATATTTACAGTTATAGCGGTATGCAGAGTAAATTAACAACCAAAGCATCAGCACTAATGAAATCAAAATGAAGAAATGCTGCGAGCAGCTGCTCAAATCAATCAACTGTCCAAGTTCATTAATTTGTTTTCTCGCTGGCAAGGATATTGTATAACATCCAGCAGCCAGAGCAGTGCTTCTAAGTGTAATAAAATTCTTTTATACAATATATATTTACTTCTTTTGATGCCTGATTTGCCTTGAAAGCGGCGTCAAATGAGGTGTAATGATGGATTGGCACATAAAYGAGCTTTTATTGGCTTGCAGTGAAGTAATTTGAACCGTTAAATCGGTACATGATTTGGACTTAGAATAAACTACGCAACATCACTAAAAAAATGCATGTAAACTAGATTTTTATTATTGCAGTATGACCAGCCTGAAAGAAGAAGTCTGAAGTCAGTCAGTATTGTACTGATAAGTAAAACGTTCAAAAAAGCTCTGAAAAAGCTGTGACAAATATAAATTGAAAGATCAAAACCTACATTCAATATACCCTTTTCACAACCCTTTCTCCAGAATTTCAAAAATACTATAATTTATGAACTGTGTGTGTACTGTGTTTGCTCAAAGTAGTAGTTTATTAAATAAACTAGGACCAAAGTGCTTCTTGAACTCTAAGCAGGGATAGTGATTGCAGATAACTTATAGAAAACCGTGTTAAGAATATTAAAGAACTATCTTGTCTTGAAAGTTTTGACTTGACTTGAAAGTAACCACTCAATTTCTCTGATAACATCAATACGCCCACCAGTAGGAAGAGATCAGAGAAGCTAAAGCTTCTCGTAAGGTTGTGCAGTCTGATCTCTATATGCCAAATAGCTGCCAATGTTTATTTACGATGCGAAAAGTTTGTTTGAATGATTTTCACAGCGGCGGTTCTCTTTGAATTTTGAGTTTCCGGTTGAATCATCGAATATCTGAATGACCGCCTGAGGCATTCAGTGAAGGTCGTGAAGCCATTGCGACCTTCCTTCTTTCGAGTWGTTCAAGCACCTACGCAAATCACGAAACACTACTTCAAAATCGTCGTGTTGGCAACAGAGAGCTAGCAGCGGATCTCAAYATCACTTGTAGTTCGACTAAACACATTTTGGTTATTGTTTTGAGTATGAAGTTATTCAATAATCTCRTTCTCAAAGTCCTGAATGCGACCARTCACCATATTTACCATTTTTGTCTCTTTCTGACCTTTTCGCTTTTCGAAACTGGAAAATCCACTGCGAGCAGGTGTATGGAAAATATGATTAATCGTTAGACGCATGTACTAATTTTCGCTCAAAAGGTGCCTATTTCTAAGGTAATAGTAAAAGATTTGTACGAAAATAGTTGGAGAAAATTTGTATATATTTTTTTCAGCCCATGTAATTTGATCAGAAATGAAAAGAAATGTGCATAAGATATTATATTTTCGTCATAACAGTGTTGTGTAGTTCTCAGAAAGCAGGGAACAGCGTATAAGCTGTTGCTGAAATTACAAAAAGGAAATAATAAAAGAGTGGCACTCTCGACAGACGACTTTCACTTAGAAGTGCCCATCGATCATAAAAGCATTCCGGTTTAGATAGCGAAATGCAATTGTGCTTAACGGTCTTTGTTCCTGTGATTTTAGTGAACTGTCCACTGTCATCTATTCTAATAAAAATCCATACCATAGAGAGCCAAGAAATCTAAATATTCCGTTTCGAACATATAAATTTTTAAAATATACGTAATATAGGTATGAATATTATATATACATATATAAACTTATATAACATAGTAGTCCATGAGCACCTTTAAATATTACTATCATAAAGACAAAGTACTCAAGAACTGCATTAACATAATTCATGCAAAAATCACGAACCGTCTAACGCCAACAAATGAAAACATTCAACAGAAGGAACGGAGAGTAGAACAAAAAAAAAAAAAAAAAAAAAAAAAAAAAAAAAAAAAAAAAAAAAAAAAAAAAAAAAAAAAAAAAACAAAAACAAAAAACAAAAATGGGAGGCAGAGAAATCAAACAACTTGTAGCGCTGACAGTAAAAGCGTCAAAGAACAGTTAACAAGGAATATTTATGAACTTTTGCTTGCTAAAAAGTGTTGACGCAGTAAAAGGAAACAAAAAAAAAATGAAAAAGTGAAAAATGACATTGCGAAAATATGAAAAATGACAAAAGAAAAATCCGGAAAATGTGCACATAAAGGACAAGGAGGAAAAGGGAACTGATTCACGCTCAGCAAGTAGCTGACTAAAGCGGATAGGGGGTGCGAATGACAAAAAATTATGACCGCAAAATGTAAATTTTATTGAAACAGTGGCAACAAGTGTAGCGACTGTTGAAAAATTAAGACAATAAAACGAAATCAGGGATATGGAAACGTTAAGACTATACCCTAGATGGATAACTAAACATGCAGACACTCCGTTAAATGATGAAAGCTGCGGTCGAAAGCTTAAACGGCGCGTGGATGAAAGCACATTTCTACAACAAAAGCTAAATACATGGAAATTTCTAAATAAATCCAAATGGACATGATTAATTTGCTGTTGGTGGAGAGTGGTTGTGTACCTGTGTTTCTGTAGTTGGGGAAATATGTTATGTAGAAGGTGGTAGAGTAGGCGATAGTGTAAGCAAGTGGCAAATAAAAGCTAGCAAGGCATTAAATTATACATACATATACATAGAAATTCATAATAGAGTACACACATACATATTTACGAGTGAGATTGCAACTCATAGAAGAGCTAGCTGACAGAGGATTTCAAGAGTCGTTACGTTATTTTCATATATAATCGGCTAAGCGATTGCATGCAAAAGCTTTACAGTTATTTATTATTACTTTTTTTCGAATAGGTTAAGATTCAGTAGGTTTTTACATCATAAAATCACATTAAGGGCGGATCGTTTTTTATGTACGCACAAAAAAAAAAAAAAACCTGAAACCTTATCGTGTTGACCATGTTTTTGAAGTAAATTTTTTTGGTAAATAAATTTGTTTCTCTTTCTATTTTTATGTGTTTAACGGTGTTCTTATTCAAAGGGTCTCACCAAAAGTGGTCTCTCTAAGATTTTTAATAGTTGTTAGGGGTTGTATGGGTTCACGGTTTTAAAATTTTATTTTATTTAGTTTTTTATTGTCTTATTAAATCTCCCAATACCTCTCCTCAATTGTTTTCAATAACCTTGGGCACTCGAGGCTACCTACACTAAGTGCATCGTCTTTAAATGCGTTTTTGCTCAAAACTGCGTTTTTGAAGTCGGTTGTAAGATTTGCCCGAGAACTACTCAACCGGTCTTCATGAATATTTATACAAGTCTTTGTATTGAGATACATTTCTTAAAGACTTGGACGAAGGTATTTTTTCGATAACAACTATTTGAAAAATATGGCGGGAAATTTTAATTTTCTTGTAAAATTGTTCAGTTTTTTTCCTTCGTCTAATAAACATTCTAGTCTAAATCTTCAGATTCGRCACGACCAAAAATTCTTACCTCATATTAACTGGGTACGTTTTATATATATTATTTATACAACCCGTTATTCAAACGGGAAATKAATACTTTAAGCCAGCCTTCTGAGTTACACCTTTCGAACAATGTTTACTAAATTAATACTCAGACCATGGGAATATTCCATCAAAAAACGGGGTTCTTAAATGATCGCCTTACAATGAAAATCGTTATAATTTAGKGCAGGCTTCGTGTACTTCGTAATTGAATAAAAGAAATTCGTAATTTCGTTTTTTATATGATGGCAAACACGCTTGTCCCTGAACTCTTTGYATCTACATAAACTGGTCCCCCAGTTTTTGAGTTATCCAACATATTTCAAACACGTYCTTTTCTCCCCAAGAAGCTGCGCATTTGTCSGAATCGTCATTAACGGACKACTATTGATTGAAATCGAGTYCGTGTRYRGAAAATTTTATTTGTCGAGGCGTCTTCACGAAATTTGCTAGAATTATTGACCACAGCAACGATACGCTAAATCCTGACCGATCAAAATCAAGTTCTTGTATTSAATCTTTGTATTTGTGGTGGGTATCATAGTTTTAGGGCAACCCAACCCATCGTTTGATATTTAAAATGTCATTGCATCAGATTGCATTCACAAGAAAGAAAGGGAATCTAGGTTCTAATGGAAGCGACTATACTAGACAGTGTTTTGTTAGCAAGATCACTTCCTTATAAGGTCTTTTGGTTAATCCCAGGTTAGGTTAGGTTCTAGGTCGATGCTAACACGGTTCATACTTGGACAGCTTAGAACGCCGGTGCCTTCTAAGTAATATACCGTAATTTCCTTACAAATRTACAAAGATCTTTGTACCTATCACAGATTTGTTAAGACAACTAACGTCAGTTTCACCTATATCTTCTGGTTCGCCGAATGAAATACTGCGGAGATGTTTCTACACTAGTCAACAAAGCTCTC